TGATGGGCATCTAGGTTGTTTACATCTTTTTGCTATTGTGAATAGTGCTTCAGTGACTATGGGTGTGCATATGTCTATTCGTGTGACGGCCCTTATTTCTCTAGGATATATTCCTAGGAGTGGGATTGCATTTTGTAGTGCTTTTTCTTGTGGTGCTGATGTTTTCTTTGTTCCTCTTACTCTCCTGTGCTGAGTTCCTTTTGTTTGTGGATTTTTTTTTTTTTCATTTCTTTTGTTTTTGTAGGTTTTGTTTTTACTGAGACTTTATATTTTTCTTCTTTATTTTGGTGAGTAGCTTTGTTAACTTTCTTTGTGATTACCTTGGAATTTACCCTGATCTTCCTAGGTTTGAACTAGTCTAATATTACTTGGTAACGCCTTGCCTTCCTCTCCATTAGAAGGTTCTATACCTACACCGTTTATTCCCTCTTTTATTGTTCTGATGCTGTTGTCATTTACAGATTAACCTCTCTGGTTCCGTGCTGTAATTCTTTTGGTTTTGCATAGTCCTTGAGAGTACATTTCCTAGGTTGGTATCTGGCTAGTACAACCCTGTGTCCTATATTCAGCCTGTGGTCTGAAGTTGTTTGTTCTCAGATCAAAGGACACCCTTTAATAAGTCTTGCAAGTTTGTCATAGGCACTGTTTTGAGGTCAGAAATCCAACCAAGTCATCAATTTATTAGTTTACTTTTCATTGACAGGAAAGCAGGCATAAAAACTGACAAAGTCGTTTCTGCCAAATAAAACAATGGTGATTTTGTACACCTGTGGGAGTTACAAACTATTGTTACTAGTGGCAACTAATTATCATTAGATGTTCTGAGAGTCAAAGTTTCATTCCACAGAATACTCGTTCATTCATCCATTTATCCATTAATCCATCCACCCGTTCATCCATCCATCTGTTCATACGCCACGCATCCATTTATCCATCCATACAGCCATTCATCCATCCACTCACCACATATCTATCCATCCACCATGCATCCATCCACCCATCCACATATCTGTCCAAATATCCATCCATCCATCCATTCATCCACCCACACCCATCCATCCACCATGCATCCATCCATCCATCCACCCACATATCCATCCACATATTCATCCAAATATCCATCCAGCCATCCATCCACCCACCCACCCACATCCATTCATCCGTCCATTCATCCAACCATCCATCCATCTATTCATTAAGAAATACTCATAGCATGGCTACCATGTGGTGCTTCATTCTAGACTCTGAATACAGCAGCAAAATACACACAAACCAGTCCTGGCCTCCTGGAGTTTGCCCTCTAGAGGGGAGTGATAAAACAGTAAACCCTTGAAGCCTGGCTGTCTGGTTACAGGTACAACTACTCACATGAGCATCTGCATTTGGACACTTTTGCATCTGTAGTATTTCATTCTTGTGGATGATTTTAAACTTTAGTGTGTGAGGTGGGGAGGCAGAGACACGGGGGATAGCCATTTTCAAGGACAAGCCAGCCTCATAGACCAAGGTTTTCACCTTGGATGTTAGGTGATCCCCACTAGGGAGATAGTTGCGTATTCTTTGTTTTATACCAATGGCCCATCAAAATCCTAGACACAGAAGATTTGAGACAGTCTTGTTCACACCACGAGCCTTAGATGTATCTTGGAGATGCCTAAAGAAAAAGGGTCTCAAGTGTCCTGAAAAGAACGGCAGAGCCCTCAGCCTGGCCTCCTGGGAAAAGAAGAGCACCCCTCCCTTGGACGGGCTGGCACCCTAGCCACACCAAGCCTATTCCCCAGGAGGCTGGCTCAGCTGTGCCAGTCCCTCAGGTGTGGCTTTGATGCACTGGGCTCCAGACAGTGATAGACTGCCTGGTGGGCTTCCCTGGAGTCACCAAGGACATGACAGTAGGCTTCATGACTTGTCTACAACTCATGCAGTTTGTTCAAAAAGTATACCTGAGCCCCCCCACGGGCCAGGCCCAGGGCTGGCGCAGCCCAGGCCAGCCCCATCAGGCAGCTTGGTTACAGCAGGTCTGCGCCCAGATGGCCTCAGTGGGGCGTGGGTCCTAACACCGAAGGGCTCCTGGTGGGAAGCGCTCCTGGGGCTCAGCAGGAGGAGGTAGCTCTGAGCCAAGTTTTGAAGGAGGAGAGGGGCATGAAGACCTGGAATACTCCAGGGCAGGTTTTCCTGGCTCGGTACGGAGTTTGTTTATTAGAGGACCAAGCGTGGCAGGTGGGCTCTGGCTCCAGGCTGCTCCAGGGTGGCCACAGTGAAGAGGTGACAGCAGGACAGTGTGGGGTTAAGACGACACCCTGGAAACCACGAAACTGCACTTGTATTGGGTGTGTTGGGCAGGCCAGGGTCCCTCTGGCTGGGGACAACATGGGATCTGGTACCCCCTGTGCTGGGCAAGGAGGGAAGTCGGTCAAGGAGGGGGAGGGGACCATCCTCCTTGGGGGAGAAGCCACATCCCAGGTTCTGGGGACCCAGCTGATGGCTCCTGAGGGGAGGGTGGTGAGGTTAACACGAGCAGGCACTTCTCAAGTTCTCCTTCCAGGAAGCCCTCCGCTGGGTGTGAAGAATTTTTAAACTGTTCCTGGTGCTGATGGAGGACGTGTGAGTGCTGCTCAGCAGGGCTGGGTCCATGTCTGCTAGGCACACCAGACGGGGCGGGGGTGTGGGCGGGTAGTGTCTCATCTCCTGGTCTCCCTCCCCCTCACACCTAATCCTCAATTGGCTCCGGGCCACCTGAGTGAGGTTGTGGCTAGCCTCCCATGCCCAGCCCTCTGCCCAGTCTCAAGCTCATGGGGCACAAGGATCCAGGCGCCCCCCGGTTCAGTCCTGGGCAGTGGGCTTCCCTTGTATTGGGGGTTTGCCTGAAGGCACAGTCTCTTTCCAGTGGTGCCCTGGTGGAGACGTCGGTAGGCTGCAGGGGGTCCAGGAAGCACCTGGGGGGATGCCGTCCTTGTGGTCAGCAGGAGGAGCCCAAGCTCCCGGCCAGGCTGCAACCAGGACCTATGTACTAATGGCCCCCAGCATTACCCACTAGGGGCCGCGGTGGCTTCGCAGCCTGCTCCCCACCCCTGCCCCTGCCCTTCCTGCCCCCGCGCTCGTGTTCCCACTCAGGCTCTGTCATTCCCATTCCCGTGGGCGGCTAGTCCACAAACAAGGCCCGCCGCTCAGCCTTCCCTCCACAGGCGGCAAGCAGGTCTACCTGCCAGCCACGTAGGTGCAAACCTACTGCATCGGGTACTTCAAGGCCAAGAGGAACGGCAAGACGGTGCAGATGACGAAGCTTCGGGGTATGTGTGGCATCCACGCATGCGCAGACTCGGTGGCATACGGATGCGGCCCTGTCAGCGCCCCCTTACTTACACTAGAGGGAGCATTTTGCAGGCATCCCACTGGGTGGGCTCAGATATCGTTGTGGGCACAGGGCTAAGAATCCTACTTGAGGGAGCTGAGGGCCACCGCGATGGGCAACTGTGTGGAGGCAGCTGTTACAGGGGAATACGGCCCCTGATGGGGACTAGGTGGCGGGGAAGCTGGTTTAGGGGGAGGGCGAGAGTAGATGATCACTGTTCCCAGAAGCAGGGCACTGACAGGGTCAACTCCTCCTGCCATGCGGGTCCCCCCAGTGTCATGGAGGGACTTCATCATGAAGAGGCCGCAACAGGGCAGAGCTAGCTCCACAGGCCCAGGACGACTCTCCGTAGGGATTCCATGTCAGCACAGCCCCGCCTCTCTGCTCTGGGGTGTTGCAGTCAACACATAAGGGAGTCCACTCGGCCTAGCGGGTGTCAAGCCCCTCAGGGTCTCCTCCCTCTCAGGTGGCTCCTCCCCCCCTCAAGTGGCTCCTCCTCCTCAGGCGGATCTTCCGCTCAGATGGTTCCTCACTCTCAGGTAAAGGGGGTGGGCTTGTGGCTAGAAAGCCCCAAGAGCCCCCATGGTCACCCAGACACTGTCCCCAGGGCTGCCCCCAGTGTACACAGAAAGCAGAGGTCACCCTAGCACCAGCTAGCTCGGTCTGCTTTTGCAAGGGTATGCAAGCATAATTTGACAATAAAAGTGATTTAGAAAGTGGGGTTCATTTTCCAGAATTTCCTCCATAATCAGCCGAGCAGACCCTCGCAGTTTTCATCTGGCAAAGGAGAACCGTGTCCACTCGGGGCCTGCACCCTGCAGCACGTGTTCATCTATGGGCTGACATTCAGGTTTTCTCGTCCTTCAAGGAAGCCTTTGAACAGGTAGTTATACCAGGGTCCCCGACCCCCTAAATGGCACTCAGAGGCCCAATCCTGGGACAAATATCAGAGAAGGTGGTAAGCATAGACTGCCCTCTGAGAGGAAGGGCTGGTCCAGACACCTCGTGACAGACTCCCTGGAAGATCTTGGGGGCCGGTGCCTTTAGGGGAGCCACTACCACCCAAACACAATGGCCACCACAGAGACCTGCTGTGTCCCAGCTGGTGTGCACACTTGGGACGGCTGTGTGAGGGGATCAGTTAGGGGCGGGTCCACCAGAACAATGTCCATGCTGCCCAAGGCCAGCAGTGGGGCTCCCTGGATGGCTCTGTGGCAGACCCAAGGGACTCCTCCCCACCCAGACACAGCTGTGCTGCTGCAGGACAGTTTCCTGGTGTGTCCTTGACCAAGAGCTTCACTAGGAAGTACCCTGACCCTGGTGGTCAGCCTAGAACTGAATCCCACACCCCTCCCATTTCTGGCTCTATCAGGAACTGACTGGGACTGGGGACACAGTGAGGTTCTTGATGGGCTGGAAGGAAGTCAATGACACTCTACCCAGAAGGAAGGCCTCATGCTGTCCTGGAAGATAAAGTCCTCATTGACCTGCCGAATGAATCACATGGATTCACGGAATCCCATGGTGGGCGGGGCCCAGGCCAGTCCTGGGTTGGGAGAACCTCGCTGCTCTCCTCTTATACAAGGCCCTTAGTTGAGTTGTCTTGGCCTTCTCACTCTCTGGAGCTCAGAAGTACACCACCACTGCCACCATGAAGTGCCTCCTCCTCACCCTGGTCCTGGCCCTTGTCTGTAGCATTTATGCTGTGGACATCCCCCAAAGCAAGAAAGATCTGGACATCTGGAAGGTATGAATGTGTGGAGGTGTACACTGTGGGTCTGAGAGAGGGGCAGGAAGGCCCAGGACCTCAGAAATCCAAAGGGAGCGGACAGTGGAGGCCATAGTGTTAGAGGACAATTTTGTCCCCTTGTGTTGGTCAGGACAGTACAGAGAACCAGAGCTAGTAGATGGAGATATATATATATATATACATCTGGCTCTATATCTGGCTGTGTATATATATGGCTATATATGTGTATATATAGAGAGAGAGGAGCCCCGGTGGCGCAGTGGTTAAGGGCTCAGCTGCTAACCAAAAAGGTCGGCAGTTGGAATCCACCAGCTGCTTCTTGGAAACCCTATGGGGCAGTTCCTCTCTGTCCTATAGGGCTGCTGAGTAGGAATCAACTTAATGGCAACGGGTTTGTTTTTTGTTTTTGTATAGAGAGAGAGAGAAAGATTTCAAGGAATTGGCTTAGGCGATTATGTAGGCTGGCAAGTCCAAAATCCATAGATAGGACAGGCTGGAAACTCAGGCAGGAGGTGAGGCTGCTACCCACAGGTGGAATTCCTTCTTCCTGGGAAACCTCAGTTTTCCTCTTAAGACCTTCAGTGGATTGGATCAGGCCCACCCACATTATGGAAGTTAATCTAGTTAGAGTCAACTGACTGTAGATGCCAACCACATCTAACATCCTAGGTTAGCAGGGACGGATTACTCAGTAAGCAAGGTAAACAAGTACAAGTAGTGTTCACACAGGTTAGTAAGTAAGCACAAGTAAGCCCATGCTTACCTTGCTCACTGGGTAATCAGTCCCTGTCAGGGATCGTAAATTGGAAAAGAGGCTTTGAATCTGTAGGAAGGTGCTGTGGGGTTGGGAGAGAGACAGATGCCAGCAATACCTAAGCAGAATCTTAGATGAGGTGAAAAAGTGTAAAATTGTTCACTACAGATCAGTAAGTAAGCAAAAGTAAGCCCATGCTTACCTTGCTTATTGAGTAATTCTCCCCTGTAGATTAGTGTTTGATTGAATAACATGGTATTCATGAATTGGAATCCACTCAACAGCAACACCAACAACATGGCCTGGCCAAGCTGACATATAAAACTGACCATCACATCCTACCCCACAAATGTTAGAGGGACTTGTTCCAGCTCTGACCACTTGATCCCCCAAATGCAGATGTTTTCTTCTCACTTTTGGGGATGGACTCACCTATAAAGCTATTTGCACCTCCAATGGAGCTTACTTAAAACAGCCCCTGGGTTAAGAGAGAGTGGTTGTTCCAAATATGGAAGAACCCCAGCCCAGGTGTTAGCACAGGGTGGGGGCCCTCAGATATGCCTTGAATCCTAACCCATTGCACTGCCACTGGGAGACCTCGACTAGGGGAGAGTCTGCTTCCCTAGACAGGGTAGGGGGTGCAAAAGACCCCCTTCAGCCCCACTGGGGAGTCCCTAACTGTCCTCTCCTCAGCTGGCAGGGATCTGGCACTCCATGGCAATGGCAGCCAGTGACCTGCCCCTCCTTGAAATGGAAAATGCCCCTCTGAGAGTGTACATCAAAGAGATGAGGCCCACCACAGAGGACAAAGTGGAGGTTGTCCTGCTCAAGAGGTGGGTTTGCCCCCCGGGACTGTAGACGAGGGGCCAGGGGTGCAAAGCTGCTCAGCCTTCCTGGGTGGGCAAGACAGGTCTCCCAGGGACACTTCCTGATGGAACTCGGCCCCAGGTGTGTCTCTAACAGAAGATCTGTTGTCAGCTAGTGCCAGATGCCCCAGGGGTGGGGGTGGGGAGGGCCTCAGGAGGTTCCTGGTACCTTCGGCCCAGCCAAAGGGCTTCCAGCTCAACAGGCTGACTGCCCGGACCCTCCTGAGACAGTGTGCGGGCAGGTCAGGTGGGAGGCCAGGCTGGGCACCGCAGGCTGGGTGGTGGGCTTTCCTGAGATGACCCCTGGCTACCCTGCAGTCTGAGAGGGGGGTTGAGGAGTTTGAGTAGCTGGACCATGATGAGACAGGCCCTGTGGAAGCACCGCATCAAAGCCCCACAAAGACAGGGTCAGTTCTGCCCAGGGGGCCCTCGGCCCTGACCAGCACGCCTCGGTTCCCTGTGGGCACCGTACACCCTCACTGCTGGCAGCTCGAGTCCTTGGCCTCAGGCACAGTGAGTGCAGCTCACTCTAAGGCCATCCCCAGTACTGGTGCCACCTGCAGCGCAGACCTGGCCTGCTCCTGCCCTGACAGGGGGTGCACGAACGACCCCCAATACTTTGCTTTCCAGGGACAAAGATGCATGTGTGGAGGTGACTGTCGTTGCCCAGAAGACAGAGGACCCTGCTGTGTTCACTGTCAACCGTGAGTGCCCACCCTGAGCGTTCCCCTGGTCTGCCTGTCCCTTGGTTGGCCCGGGGGTGGGCGACCTCCCCCTCTGGCAGAGGGGCCCCATCAGGGAGTGTAACGCCTCTGTGGCCTGAAGGCCCCTCAGCATTCCAGTGGCAGGAGGGGATAGGGCTGGGGTCGGTCCTGACCACGGTAGGTCTATCCAGCCCTGGCAGGCTTACCAGCTTCCCTGCTTCTGACAGCCACGTTGGGCATTGTTGAGGGAGGGTGGGCAGGCTTGGGCCCCCGCTAAGCCCTGCACCTCCTGGTTAGGGGGGAAAGGCACAGCCCACTGCCCCGTCGTGATGGCGTCTGGAGTCGGTCAGACGTGAACTGTCTTCCACTGCTTCCTTTCCAGACCAGGGAGAGAGGAAGGTCACCGTGCTGGACACAGACTATGAGCGCTACCTCTTCTTCTGCGTGGAGACAGATGCCGAGACAGACAGCCCCGCGGACACCAAGGAGAGCGGCATGGTGTGCCAGTACCTGGGTACGCCCCTGAGTCCTCGCACTTCCATGCCCTCAGCCCTCATTTTGAATGACAGGCGTGCAGAGTGCACCCTGGCCAGAACCTCTCTCTTACGGGTCACGGGGGCCAGAGGTTGTCCGCAGGGCGAGGTCAGGTTGTGGTTGTCTGTGATTAGGGGCAGGGGCGGTTACTGACATCGGGGACAGGCCAGAGTGGGCAGAGGGGGAAGACGCAGGTTGGTGGCCAAGCCGAAGGGCTGCGCTCAGGGTGCAACTTGTCAGTGTGACTGAGGGAACGCTGAGATGATTCCAGCAGCTGCTGGGGACGGGGATGTCAGTGACCTCAGGAGCCACTCAGTTGGAGAGCAACTTTAAAGGGAGGGCAATTGGGCCTCTGAGCCCCAAGACCACAGCTGGGGAACTACAGGGGGCCAGACGCAACCTCAGGAGGGCAGCCAGAGCCAGGGACTGACCCTACCTCCCCCACAGCCAGGACCCTAAAGGCCGACACCGCGGTCATGGAGAAATTTGACGGGGCCCTCAAGGCCCTGCCCGTGCACATCCAGATTTTCCGGGACATCACTCAGGGCAAAGGTGAGCCCCCACCTGCCAGGCCTGCCTGACAACAGCTCGGGACAGCAGCTTCCATTTATCACTGACCACATCTCAGTCCCCCTGGAGGTGGTGGGTGGGGGTGCAGAGAGCTCCTCTGGGGGGTCCTGCCTCTCTCCCTCAGCTCCAGACCCCTCCCAGGCCCCAAGTCCTCTCCTCTCCGGTGATGACCCATTTCCCCTTTCTCTGGCAGAGAGGTGCCGTGTGTAGGTGAACGCTGCTGGTCCCACCTCATGGGGTAAGGTACTCACCCACCCTCTCGACCGGCAGTGCAAGGGGACAGCTCCCTGTGGGCCCAGACAGACCCCGCCTCCCACCAAGGCCCTGCAGGGTGCTGGGGGCTCCCCTGGCAGTCCCAGAAACCCAGGCTGGCTGAGTGCCAGTGTCTCTTGGGTTGGCCTTTCTCAAGCAGTCATTTCGTGTGTCCTGGGCCCCATCGAGTTCCCACTCATCCTTCTGGGGGTGCTGGGGAAGGAGGACGAGAAGCAGTCTTGAAGGTGACAGGCCCCTCCAAGCTGAAGGTGTTGGCCTCACACAATGAGGGCCCCTCACCACGGCAAGGCAGGGGCTGGTGTGCATCTGCAGGTTCCTGGAGTCACAGGGATGTCACTGTGTTCCCCCAGGTCTCTGAGTGTCCCAGGAGTGAGGCTTCTCCGCTGAGAGGGGAACACATCACCCCCACAGCCCCATCCTCACCAGAGGAACCCCTCCCATCAAGGAGTTAAAGTGGCTGAAGACCAAGGATGGCCACTCATCTTGGGACCCGACCCCTATGAGTCTTGGCCGTGGACTTCCTGTTCTGAGCAGTTTCTCTCAGCAATAAAAGGCCCATGCATACTCTCTTCTGAGTCTGTCCTTTCTGGTGTGTGGGATGGAGCCAGTGTAGGGGTGGAGGGCCGGGAAGCAGGGGTGAGGGTTGAGCTCTAGACCAAGCCTTCCCTGAGCACCAAGCGGACTGGGAGCCTGCACCTCATCTGTGTGGGGTGCGTGGGCTTCCTTCCCATTGTGACTAGTTCTAGCTTCATCATCCTAGCATCACATGAACCCTATTCAGGTCACCCTGAAAATCATCATTTTTCACTTAAATTTCTTGTAAGAACAAATTCTCAGGTGCCTTCTAGGCATCTCCCATCCTTTATGGAGTGGGACGTGGTTGGAACATCTGGTGGGGGGGCACCCTGCTGTGTGGATGGAGAAACCCACAGGGATGACCATTTAAGGGCAAGCAGACCGGCTCACCCTTCAGAGCCCCAGGCCAGGCCTGCTTGCTGACCAGCCCCCTGGAAAACCAGGGCAAGAACAGGTTTTCTGGCATTTCACCTCCCCAAGCCCAGCATAAGTGCCTGGTGCCTGGTCCACTCGCCTGCACTGCATCCTCCCCCAAGCCCCTTGGCAACAGCTAGTCTCCTTACCCACCACCCACAAGAGAAGGAGGGCAGCTGGGAAGTCCGTAATTCTTTAATCCACACACTCAGTCAGCAGCAGAGCTGGACGTGGGAGCCAAGCTTCTAGATTCCAAATCCAGCTCAAAACATCCTCCAAAGGGGACACCCAGTCCCAACTCCAGAGGAGAAAAACAGTGAACCAGGAGGTCACAGTAGACTCTAAGACACAGGGGTTGGAGGTGAGATGGCTTGAAGTGACATGTGTAAGTGCTGAGAGCAGAGACTGCACATGGGCAGTCATTGCGGCCCAGCACTGTGAGGTGGTCAGTGCTGTGGCCAAGAGCACTGCAGGTCTGCCTGAAGCCCTGGCCTAGCCTGCCTGCTGGGTGTCCTGGGGCAGCTGCTCTATCCCTCCTTGCCTGCTTCTTATCTCTAAAGTGGTGATGAGAACTTCAGCTTTATGGAGAATGAAAGGAGAAAATACTATCACCCACTTCCAACAGTGTCTGTGTGTAGGAAGTGTCCAGTAGCTGACAGCTACTAACACTACTGCAGCCACTGCTAACGCCACTGTTAATGTCATCGTGTTTACTATCATTGACCCAAGCCTCAAGCCAGGGGCCGACTGTGCAATAGACCATCAATTGCTCATCTGTAAGTCAGAGTTGGAATTGAAGGAAATTAGAACAAGTCCACGAGAACCAAAGTATGACCTTGAGTATATCCCACCTGAATATAAAGACTGCCTCAAGAATAAATTTGACGCACTGGACACTAATGACTGAAGACCAGACAAGTTGTGAAATGACATCAAGGACATCATACATGAAGAAAGCAAGAGGCTGTTAAAAAGACACGAAAGAAAGAAAAGACTAAAATGGATGTCAGAAGAAACTCTGAAACTTGGTCTTAAACGTTGAGTAGCTAAAGCAAAAGGAAGAAATTATGAAGTAAAAGAGCTGAACAGATTTCAAAGGGTGGCTCGAGAAGACAAAGTAATGTATTGCAATGAAATGTGCAAAGACCTGGAGTTAGAAAACCAGAAGGGAAGAGCACTTTTGGCGTTTCTCAAGCTGAAAAAACTGAAGAAAAAATTCAAGCCTCAGGTTGCAATATTGAAGAATTCTTCAGGGAAAATATTAAATGACGCAGGAAGCATCAAAAGAAGATGGAAAGAATACACAGAGTCACTGTACCAAGAAAGAATTGGTTGACATTCAACCATTTCAAGAGGTAGTATATGATCAAGAGTTGACAGTTCTGAAGGAAGAAGTCCAAGCTGCTCTGAAGGCATAAAAACAAGTCTCCATGAACTGACGGAATACCAATTGAGATGTTTCAAAAAATGGATGCACTGCTGGACTTGCTCACTCGTTTGTGCCAAGAAATGTAGAAGACAGCTACCTGGCCAACTAACTGGAGAAGATGCCTATTTGTTCCCATTCCAAAGTCAGATGATCCAAAAGAACGTGGGAATTATCAAACAATATCATTAATATCACACACAAGTAAAATTTTGCTGAAGATCATTCAAAGACGGTTGCAGCAGTACATCGACAGGGAACTGCCAGAAATTCAAGTCAGATTCAGAAGACAGTATGGAACAAGGGATATCATTGCTGATTTCAGATGGATCCTAGCTGAAAGCAGAGAATACCAGAAAGATGTTTACCTGTGTTTCATTGACTGTGAGAAGACATTCAATGGTCTGGATCATAACAAATTATAGATAACTTTGCAAAGAATGAGAATTCCAGAACACTTAATTGCACTCATGAGGAAACTGTACATAGACCAAGAGGCAGTCATTCAAACAGAACAAGGGGATACTGTGTGGTTTAAAGTCAGGAAAGGTGTGCATCAGGATTGTATCCTACCACCATACTTATTCAAAGTGTATGCTGAGCAAATAATCCTAGAAGCTGGACTATATGAAGAAGAATGAGACATCTGGATTGGAGGAAGACCCATTAATGACCTGTGTTATGCAGATGACAACAACCTTGCTTGCTAAAAGTGAAGAGGACTTGAAGCACTCACTGATAAAGATCAAAGACCACCGTCTTCAGTATGGATTACACCTCAACATAAAGAAAACAAAAATCCTCACAACTTGACCAATAAGCAACATCATGATAAATGGAGAAAAGATTGAAGTTGTCAAGGTTTCATTTTACTTAGATCCACAATCAACACCTATGGAAGTAGCAGTCAAGAAATCAAAAGACCCATTGCATTGGGCAAATCTGCTGCAAAAGACCTCATTAAAGTGTTAAAAAGCAAAGATGTCACTTTAAGGGCTAAGGTGACCCTGACACAATCATGGTATTTTTAATCCTCTCATATGCATGTGAAAGCTGGACAATGAATAAGAAAGACTGAAGAATCGATGCCTTTTAATTACTGTGTTGGCAAGAATATTGAATATGTCATGGACTGCCAAATTTGTCTTGGAAGAAGTACAGCCAGAATGCTCCTTAGACACGAGGATGGTGAGACTTTGTCTCACAT